CTTCCTATAGCTTCCGAGCTTTTATCACCCTTTAACAACTATTGGTCTAACTTTTAGAAATACTACTTAGATAGTATTCATAATACTGCGGTTATTGAGAAACTAAGCACACCATTCAAATTTCTACAAAAAGCTTTTCAGTTTACACAAATATGTCTTCCTCCTCATCCTTTTCTTTACTACAAATTTTCCAAATTGTTGTCTATTTTCCACAATGTTGCCGCTTCTTCGTTACGTTTCTCAATATATGACGTTTTCAAATAAGTGATAAAACTTTTGAGACTTTCCTAATTTTCCCCTACACCTACAACTTCCCCTATAATAAAATACCTTGTCATAGTTTTATAATGAGAACTGTAAATAAAAATTTAAAGCAAGCTAGTAGAAGGTTTAAAGACTGAGTGTTAATTAGACTCTTTCTTGCTATTTCAATCTAGATATTTTTACTAAACTAAACATTTAGCTTTCATTTAGCAGTTAGCTGAGACCTTAGCACTTCTATCATTTAAGAAACGAGAAGCAATTTTAGGCGCTAAAAGCGCAACTCGTCTTATGAAAAATATTTAGTTATACGGTGTAAATAAAAGATTTTGGGAATTAGGATTACTAAATACTTCGTTCCTAGTTTTGCTTGAACTTCTTCAAAATATAATGTTAAAGGAATATTTTTTTACTGCTTTCAGATGAAAGATTTCTACAGCAAACAATTGCCACAGTCTACCAGAGAAGGTGACCTGGATTCTGCACTTAACACGTTAGACGAAGTTTCTGCTACTATCGCCAAAGCAACCGAAAAAACCTTGGTTGGCGTTAAAAAAGCGTAATTTTGAAACATAGTTATGCAGAACTAAGCAAAGATTTAAATGCAAATTATAAACGAAAATAGAAGTCTGATCAGCTGTAGAACAAGTACAAAAGTTACAGTTCCAATGTAGTGCACCGTCGAGTGAAATGTTTAAAAAAACGAGGTTCAAAAAAACAAGTAATTTTTGTCGTTATTTTAGAGAAACGAAAGCTGGTGAGATACAAATTTTTTTTTTGTAATTTCTAACAGTCTAAGCTAACGAAGAGGAAAGAAGGTATTATGAAAGTTTTCTGCTTTGTCATTTAAGTCTCTAATAACTGTATTTTACAGACATCTTTGTTACTCAAAGCGTCGCAGAAAGGCGATATTAGCGATATCAAAAAACTTGTAAAAAGAGGAGCAGACATAAATGCAGAAGACGAAAACGGAGTAAAGGCTTTTTTAGATTTGTGTCATCTTTGACAGCCGCCTATTTTCATTGCAGCATCATATGCGGGTAGAAATTGGCATCATTGATTTAAATGGTATAGGCAAGGAAAAACAAGCGAGGGATTGTTTTTTGAGAAAAAATAATGAATAAAGAATACAAGAGTTATGTAAGGTTTTTGAAAACTGCTAAAATAGAAATTAGACGACTTACAAATCCCTCTATAAGAAAAAAAAAAACGTCTAGCAGTTTTGGACGTTTACGTGATGAAAATTTACTTTTCATGATAGAAGCATTAAGAGCTTAGAATGAACTTAGCAAATGATACCGAGAAAGAACGTTACTGTTTTTACTTGAAGAACCATGTCACTTTCAAGTAATCAGAAAAAGTATTGTGCATGCATCTCTTTGGTTCAATAAATTTGTGACGTCCGCTCTTTAGTTTTCTTCATGGAATAAGTGCTCTGTAACTTTTAATATAATATTAATATGTATTTTAGAAAAATGTATAAGCACTAGCTATGAGGCGGCTCACTGATATAAATCTGCAAACTGTACTTTATTTGACGAGGATCTACAAATTTGAAAATTGCTTTAAAAGGAACAGTTTTGAGGAGAAATATGAAAGTTTAAACTCATAATATTTTACTTGTTTGTTCTACTTCAGCATTCGCCATTGTACATGCTTTCACAGAAGGGACAGTTAAACGCTGTGCAGTACCTAATTGAAAATGGGCTAGATCTTAATCGGAACCACTGTGCGGTAAAACTTCAACAAATTCATTAGACAGTTATTTCATCAGTATTTAAATACTCCTCGTCAGAACTCCTTTATAAACTTTCGTTTTCTTTTTTAACTTTTAGAGTTTGCAAACAATAAAAAATTCAGGCTTTGAAATATGCAAGCTCACAATTTTTTTGATTTCAGCTACGATCGATAGTTGTTGCTTCTCAGAATGGACACACTAACGTTACGAGATATTTATTAAAAATTTGGTCTTATGTAAATCTCGAAAAAACGAACGAAGTAAGTTTTGGAGAACTAAAACAAGAGGTTTTACAGTTAGACAGCCGCATGTATTTGTAATGAATATTCTTACATTCAACCTTTATAGGTTCTGTTTCTAAATTAATACCAGAAATGCTAAGTAAAGCAGACTGTGTTTAGAGCAGAAAGCTCAGCATTCTACATCTTTCTAACCTTGTTTTTTCTCTAAACAGACCGTGTCTTGCAGCGGACGCCATTAACGGCTGCATCGCAGAATGGTGACGTTGACAGCGTAAGATCTCTGTTGCGGATGGGAGCATCTGTTAACGAAGAGACTAATGAAGGGGTTACGATTTTTAAGGAAATATAAAAATCTACTTAGCGTTATTTAGCATGTGTTCCTTAAAAGTCTTTTCGTTGTTTACATTTATTTGTTATTAAGGGAGTTTTATAATGCTATGCGGGTTTCTCAAGACAGGTGCATCGTTTTTTAAGCAATTAAAGCTACTTTTGTAGTTTATTAAGTGCTGTCAAGGAATTGCCTGTGTTCACATATTAAATAACAAAAAATACAATCTGAAAATTTCATCAACTGTAAACGAAGCTGAATTTGGCTTAAAGAGGCACTCGTATGAAAAAATTTTTCAGTAACTTTTATCTATCATTTTCAGTGGACGCCATTAATGAGTGCGTCTCGAAGTGGCCAAATCTGTGTGGTCAAGCACTTAGTAGACAACGGAGCAAAATTCAGTTTAGAAAGCAACAACGAGGTAGAACGGTGCTAAAACTGACTCATTTATTGACTGCTCTTTTAAGAGCTTCACTACTGGTACCTTTATGCAAAAAATGAGTATAAATGTTTTTCAAAGCAAATAGAGGACGTTCTTAAATTTTCACCAATTAAGTAATAATTGAAGCTTAGGCGGTAAAATAATAGTTTCTTGTCTACTGTGATTTTTACAGCAAATTTAAGACGTTTTGCTGTTGGAAAACTTTTAGTGAAATTTTCTGTCATAACAGTTCAGTTTTGCAGTGCAGAAGTAGCATTTTTTCTTCTTGGAGGGTTGGACCAATAACTGAAAATACCGTTAGAACGTCGATTAGGCAAGACCATAAGACCTCTCATGAACCGGTTAAAATTACCTAGAAGTAAACAAGACCTTAGATGATTCAATTTTACTATAAAGAACGTTTCGCAGAAATGTCGTGTTTTGCTTCAGAGGTCACCGTTATGGATCGCCTGTGAAAGCGGCCAAGTTGAGGTGGTAGATTATTTTGTGAATAAGGGGGGCGACGTTAATGAGAGGAACAAACGCAGGGTAAAAAAACTGTTAACATTACTTGCTAATTCAAAAAGATTTCGTAAAAATTGTAACAGTATTTGCTGATATTTTTTCCAGAAGCTCGTAATTAAAGTGACAAATTTTTGGCATCTAAAGAACAAATTTACTCTAGTGATGCAACTGAGAGCTTTATAAAATTGAAACAATTTTAAAAATGATGCATAGTGTGAATTAAAAACTGCTTCAGTGGACGCCATTGATGATTGCGTCTAAAAATGGTCACCTAAGCGTCGTGAAGTATTTACTGCAGAAAGGGGCAAAAATCGACGCAAAGACCGACAATGGGGTAATGCTGTAGCTACAAGAGCTACAAGATTTGGAAAATCAGTTACAGAAGTTATAGCGAAAATTTCACTTCACTATGCTCTAGTATTTCTAATCTTGCTTCTCCTTCCATATTCAAAAAACCTACCATATTCAGCACATTAAGAAAATTCCTTCTTTTGTTATTTTATAAATATACGTAGGTGACGTGTTTTTTGATATGGGAAAGTGAGATTTTAAAATGGAATATGACTTTCAAAACTTGTTACTTTTTGATATCTGGTTCTCTTCAGAAAACGCCACTGTATTTTGCTTCCGATGGCGGCCATGTTGACGTTGTACAGTGCTTGCTAGAAAGCGGTGCTGATGTCAATTCGAGAAGGGAAGATGGAGTAAGATGTTATTGGAGCATTTCAAACGGATACTATATTTACTTCTGGTGCCGTATGAGACGCTGTTTCTAAGAAAAAGTGCAAAATCAAGCAACGTCACAATAAAGTATAAGGCTGATAAGACAACAAATTGTGCCCAACGTTTTGAAACAAAAGGGTTTCTTAGTGAATTAGATTAAACAGAGTAACGAAGCTATTAACGATATGAAGTTTTAGTGCTTACTTAACCAAAGAGTTTCTAGACTTCTTTTCAGTGGACACCACTGCTAGTTGCATCACAGAGCGGCAACTTTGACGTTGTTCGTTGCCTGATCGATAGAAGTGCAGACGTTAATGCAGAAAGTAGCGACGGGGTAATTCTTTGTAAGAACAATCCAAAAGTTTCAAGCAAAGTGCCAGTTCAAGACTTTTTTCTTTTGGAATTTAATCCGCAAATCTAAAATTTTTAAAGATAGAACTTTAAGACATACGCCTCAGTTAAAAAGATTCACAAATGGTTGGAAAGATGTAAGAGATCAATTTTTTATAACGCAGTTTACCTCTTTGAAATAACCCCAAAGAAAATTTTTTAATCAACATCAGCGTTTACTTCACTAATAAGGTTTTCGTGTAACAAACATTCCCTCCTAAATAATTACACCGATTGTGTGATTCTAAGTGTTGACTATTCAAAGATAGACTTTTTTTTGTATTTTAGTGGACTCCGCTTATGATGGCATCAAGGAACAATCACTTGGACATTGTGAAATTTTTGTTCGATAAATGCGCCGACACAAAAAAAGGAAATAAGAATAAAGTAAGTGACAGCAGAAAAACTTTTGACTTGGAAAAAATGTATTTCACAAAAAAACAGTGTAAAACAGAAGATGCTTAAATATTTTACAATGAAAAATTTGCAGCTCCTTCCAAGACTTGTTTTTAAAATTTATGTATCAACAAAAACTTTTCCTTTTTCTTGAGAATGAGACGAAAATATCTTTCGTTAGGTCGTCGTTGTCAAAATGCTTTATTTTTAAATCGTGGACCTCGTTCTAGCAAAAAGTTTATTAGTTTCATCGTGGCAATTCTTTTCACTTCTAGCTTTGCATTAGCTTTTTATGGCTGCACTTTTCATTATGTATTAAATGAGACAGTAAGTTTGCAATATGCCTTTAAAATAGATCAGTAAAGTATATTTAGGAACAGATTATATATTCTTATTAAATTAGAAGTTGCATTAGTATTTTCTAGCTGCAGACGTTATTTTGTATTTAAATAAAACAGGATTTTTGAAAAAGTTTAATTTGTTGTAAACATTTTACCTCTGCTTGTGGTTTCGTTCTTTGCTGACCTATGCAGAATGCAAAAAAAAAAAAAAAAAGAAAAAATGAAGGAAAAAATTTGTGGTTTTTTTTTTACATTTCAGTAATGTTTGAAAAAGTTTTTTTCATTTTTTGTTAGAAAAAAGTTTTGAAAGATATTTGGAACTTTTAACTTCACTCACAACGTTTATTCTTCTCATTTTAGAAGACACCTTTGCACTACGCATCAAAAAATGGCCATACGGAGGTTGTGAAGTTTCTGCTCAGCAATGGAGCCAAAGTCGATGCGAAAACAAATAATGGAGTAAAGTTTCCTTGAAATTTGCTGAACTTATCAGTCGGCTTGTTCTGCCTCTTTATTTGTTGTTGAAATTAAAAAAGTTTTTATTCATTTTGTAAATCAAATTGGCAACTGAAGAGAAATGCTGTAAAATGTAAATTTGTTGTCTGCATGTGAAGTAAAACGATGAACAGATTTTAGCAGAAAAATCATTAGGTCTTCAACAAGCATTAATTGGACTTTTTATTTTATTTAAATCTCGGGTTTTACTTAGAAAACAAAAACCAAATTCAATTTCTTTTTGAACAAATATATCAGCATTCTGGAAGATAGATCTCTTTAGCTTCTTTTTGTATTTGATTTGGTAAAGACCGTAGGCAATGCGGAATTTTGATAAAAAATATATCTTACTCGTTTTCTGTTTACAGAAATATTAAAAAATCTGAATTATTTTCGTACAACATAATAAATAATTTTAAACAAACAACAATACTCGTAAGATATTTACTT